TTTAATGATACAACTTTAAAGAATCTATATTGCGTCCTACAACTTTATTTTATATATTAATATTTTAATTCTATTAAATTTTACTTTATTTAAAATTTTACAAATGAAGAGTAAAATGATAAAATTGTGAAAAAAAAATAAAAGTGAGAGAAAACTTGTGTGAAATTTTTTTCATATTGTTTATTTATAATAACAAAGTATTGAAAAAAAAGAAAAAAATAGATTTGTTCAACACTGGTAATATGACATTTTTTTCAATTTTATTATTATTTAAAATAAGTTAATTTTTCATTATTAAATTATCTTTTTTTCAATTTTATTATTATTTAATGTGAGTTACTTTTCAATTATATTATTTTGTTATGTAAGCAACCGTTGAATTGCATTACTACATTTGACAGCTTGGCTAACTTCAACCAGTATGAAACTACACTTTTTGTTTGCCACGTTGGAACAACTTATGAAAAACTAGACCAACTCCAATGACAGTTCTTAGAGTGAGTTTGCCAACATGACATTCATATTTGTTGTTTTTAAGATGGAAAAGTTCTTAAATATGCAACGATTCTTCAATGGTTCTTATATTAAAATATTAATTTTATAATATAAAAACTATAATATGATATAAAATTTTATTTATTATTTTACTTATCATTTTAATTAAAATTTAAATATTTAAATTATAATTTTAAATAAAATAAATTTAATATAGATAATATTTTTTAAGTAAAGTGGTGGGACCCAATATAGATTTTTTAGAGTTGCACCATTGGAGTGAAAATTAAATGAGTTGTTTTAAAAGAGTAGGTCCCATAAATAACTTAAAAATGGATTGCACCATTGGAGATGCTCAAAGACGCCACTGCCTCTGACACCAATGAATAAAAACATGTGCAATTATTGAGCTGATTTATTTTATTGAACTAAACAATTATGGGGTGTCCATGATAAATTTCCAAGATGATACACACTAGACAAATGAAATACTATATTATATAAACAAATGCTAAAATCTGCATTAAGCCCGTATTTAATTAAATTAAGTTAATCTTGCAACATAAAAGGTTAGCTCATAGCCTATGGTTAATGCTTTTTTTTCTTCTTCAACTATTTTTTTGTTCTAAAATTATTCTCCTTGAATAAAAGTGTTATTGAATATAAAATAATTTATATTCTCTCCGTTCTTTTTTAAATATTACCTTTAAAAAAATATATCTTTTAAAATTATTTCAAAATTCAAATATTGATTATTATTTTTTCAAAACTATTCTTAGTTATTTATTACAAAGAAAAAAATCAAATAAATTAATAAAAATTTAAAAGTAAAACGAAAAAAAGATAATTATTATTTAAAATATTAATTTTTGAGATATGTAAAAGGTCAAAAGATTACACTTAAAATAAACAGAGGAAATAACAATGTCATAAATTAATTTCTTAATATGTATATGTTAAAAATCTTAAACTTCAATAATTTAATAATTTAATAACATGAACCGACAATGCCAGATGCCATCACTAGCTGCATACTGCTGAGCCATCGATAGGACACCTCATAATTGTTTAGTTAAATAGAATAAATCAGTTCAATAATTGTAACATATTTATAAAAATATTAAGAATACAGAGGCGTCAGGCGGCTCCTCTTAGGCCAATATATATACGTCAGACCAATATATTGACACATTCATAACACATGCGCCAAAAACCGGTGTTTATTTAGTGTATGTGTCATTATTATTTGCAGTAAGGTATTTTTGTTAATAACGGAAAAATGTTATTATAATATTTTAAATAAAAATATTAGTTATTTAATAAAAAAACCTAAATTGTGAAAGAAAACTTAAAAGAAAAAATGTAATTGTAAAAATAAAATAAATGTAATATTTTTAAATAAATATAATTTATAAATACTTTTTTTTAAGAAAGTAAAATATATAATTTCAATTTGAGAGTTGCTTCAATTTAATTGAATATTCCGCTGTCCCACATTGATCCATTTAATAAAAGTGTTATAAAATAAATTATCCATTTTAATTTTTAATTCAATTTTTTTTAATTTTATGTCATCATACACAAATTTAATATTCTATCTATCTCAAGTTATAAATTACTTATTAAAAAAAAATTATCTTAAATTATTAGTTATCTTACATTTTCAATCCAATGTTAATAATATCTTTTTCAACATATCTTCAAATATTTATTATTATTTATTTTTTCAATTTTTTTAACTTCTCTCTTTTGTATAATTATGAAAGACGTTAATGTAAAATTATATATAATTTGTCTTCAATTAAATTTTTTAATTTTTGAAAAATATTTAAAATATTTTATAATTTATAACAGAGATAGTATATGAGCAGAATACTTTAATAAAAATATTATTATTTATTTTTATTATTATTATTTTTAATTTGTGTAAAATAATAAACTGAATCACTCAATGAATAGATGGAGTAACAAATAAATATTTATTAAAAAAATAAAGAGAAAAATAAATAAATTTTACACTATAAAAAAAATTAAATTAATTATACGAGATGATTGAGTAATAAAGTTTTATTAGATGACAAATAAGTTTGATATATTTCTCCTTCCGTGCGTTGCTTGAGACCCTAATTTGTTGCTTCAATGGCAAAAGAACGTATCGCCACGCTGTTCCTTGAACTCCAAAAAGAACGCATCGTTAAATTACAACCTGGCGAACCACACTCAAAAACCTCGACCGCAGGTACTCTTATGTAATACTTTATTTCTCCGACTTTGCAATAAGATAATTTAATATAATTCAACAAATAATGTCACTCACGTTTCACAATAGTATAAAAGAATCATAAATAAAATTTTCAAAAATAAGCAGTAGAAAAATATTAAATTTAAATCTCTACAACAATAGATTAAAAAATTGTTCAACAATTTTCAAAAGAAATAAGACATACGATAAAAAAAAAGTATAGAATAATTCATTTTTCAGTGTTAGATATTAAATCGACTTTATTAAATTCCAAACAATAAATAATTAAAGAGACACATCGCAACTCTAGCATTAAACACTTATTTTTGTTCCTAATCATATGTACTTCAGATGAGCACAAACACAACAACAAACTAAAAGGGGTAAGAATATTCAAGTAAATTAACTGTGCAAACTATAGCACAGGTAGTATCATATAAACACAATCACTAACACTTAATCATCACCCAAAAACACATGTATTCGTTATTTATCCAGATCAGCAAACAATCACATATCACATGTTGATTTACAGCATAACAATCATAATGATAACTCATGACACGAATATAGTCCACACTTATTCTCCAATTACCATTTTTTTTCAACTAAGATCACCAGGCTTGAGAAAGCATTCATACTTGGTCTAACCACCCCTTTCACATGTTTCTCAGAAGCTTCCACAAAATCCTCTACACTCACTGTTTTTCTCAATGTTGACAACTCTTCAAATGGATTTTCGAGCCTCTTACCACCATAGCGTGCAATTAATCCTTTGTTCATCTTCTCTCATGACAGATCATCTTCTGTCTCAAGCAACAAATTCATCCGTCGTGTTTACAGCATCAAAATGTGACACATAGTCATCACTCTCTCAAACATTGAAAGTTTCACTTTTTTCCTTCATACGCCTCACAATGAGAATTTTCTCCAATTTCTTTCTTTACTCTGTAATAGTTCAATTACACACTTCTTCATTTTTTCCTCCAATAATATTGTACAAAATACATCTCATAATATTAAAAAGTATTTTTCTTTTAAAGGTTTGACACTATAAACTAGAAAAACCATCCAATAGTATTGAATCACTTGCACCTTTATCCTACTAACCGATTTTGTAGGATTAAGTTAGACATAACCACATCTTTTAAAATGATATCAAAAGTCTGAATTAAAATTTGATGGGTCACCTACTATAACTTCCGCTCTGGTGGACCATCTATTATAATTTCTCCTATCAGGCCATCCACCATAGATGTATTAAGAGTCACACATCAGATAATATATCGCATTTCCATATTATTTTTCTAATAAATAGATTGCCAACTCCTATTTTACATCATAAATCACCTTTTGAAACATCAACTGCAACTTTACTTGACTTAAGGCTTTTTGTTTTCTATACTATATTCCCCATTAGAACAATATTGTAACAAACTTGATCTAAGAGCTAAGAACTGCATCTTCTTGACACCAAAAGATATGTCGTTACTTTTATCAAATGCTAATTTTCATCTCAATTTTTAATGATTTATGTCGTTACTTTATGCAGAATTAAAAAGATCCTGCTTATCTCCAGAATTTCACTGTCAACAACAAAGGAAAAAAACCACACTATCACTTACCCTTTACACTGAATTTTATCTTATTTTAGCCTTAAAATAAACTTAGGCTATGTTCATGTTCATTATGAATGACTTGACTATGAGTAAAACATTGTTTTTATGTAATGAATGAAAATGAATAAAATACACCAATTCATATAAATTGGTGGGTAATAATTGACCAAAAATGTTAATAGGTTAACACCACATTAGACTTTAATATTCCTATATCGTTTTCAATTTTCTATTTACTAGAAAGTAAAACTCTATTTTCTAAAAATATTAGACGATTACATTGGTAACAATACACAGACATTGTTAACACCTTAACCATAATGAGTTTCAGACTAAAACATGATGTTGAAGAAAACTATGTAAAAAAATTATGTTGATTATTATATTTAAGGAATGGCAATATTAGTCGACTAAAAATGGAGGTGAAGTAAAAAGACAACACAGGCTCTTTACAGAGTTAAAACCATTACATACATTCCTTAATTATATATGTTAAAATCCACAAAACACTTCTGTTCTTGAGCACCCAAGTCCACCAATATATCTCAATAAGATCTGAAGGGTTAAGTCCAACAATGCCTAATTACCAAGAGTTCAAGATAACCAAGGCAAAATAAAATCCAACTACTTCCAATAGTACTAGCTTATTTTGGGTTCTTTAGAACAATGATGACAGAATCTCCACGAAGGAACATCTTGCTGATGAATCTATCCTTGTTTACTGGCTGAGCTTTTTTCTTTCCTTTACCAGTCTTAGGCACCTGAAACAATTACAATATTCAGCTAATATAACAACTTAACAAATAGAGAAGTAGAAGAGCAAATTTAAATAAACAAAACATACCTCAGTCCACATTTCCCTGACATTTTCAAGAACCATGTTGCAGTGCCTATCAAAAGCCCTGACACGACCTAGAAGCTTTTTGTTGTTGCGACAATTTATCAGTACCTGCATAAGTTATAAATTAAAACCACAAATCAAATATGTTCAGAACTCAACTACAACCAATGTGATATACATGCAAAAAACAAGAAATTAAACATGCCTGTGTATTATTTTTAACACTCATCATGAGTACAGAAAGTGGCCCAGTATTGAACTCTTCTTCCTCATTCTTCCCCACTGGCTGTAACAATTAATCAGATAAAGAATATTAAACAACCATCCTCATTCTTCCTCAAATAATGCATAAACTAATTAATAAAAAAGATGACTGAAGGATGAATAACTTACTTCTTCTTCCATTGGACGGCTGAGAAGTTAAAAAAGAAAACCAATAAACTTGTTAGACAGATGCAAACATAAAATGGTAATTAAGCTGATTTAACAAAACAATAAACAACTTACTACTTACCTCATTCTGGAAAAGAGTACGGGGTAAACGTCAAATTCTTCTAGCAAAGTTGAAACTAACGACAGAAAGAACAAACAATCAATCATCATGATAAATTGGAACAAGAAAACAAGATACTAAACTAAAACTTTAAATCAGCTACAAATAGCAAATAAAAATCATACTAAAACACAAGATTTGTGAAAGCCAGGCCTCTTCAGTTCAGGTCTCCATAAAATTTCCACATGGGCAAATCAGTAGAACGAAAGTTATTTTTGATCATCCTCAGAGGCTATATTTAAGTGTTTCATGGCAGGAAAGACTTCACATCACAGAACTTTAAACAAAGAAGAAATATAAATAAAGATAGAAGAATCAACAAGAGCATTTAGCAACAAAAAAAACAAACTGATTCCAAAAAATTTAAATTAAATTGTATAAACACTAAGAGGCACAAGAAATATAAACACTAAAAGGCACAAGAAATATAAACACTAAAAGGCCTCTTCAGTTCAGGTCTCCATATAATTTCCGCACGGAAAACTCGGAAGAACGAAAGTTATAATTTTGATCATCATCAGAGGTTTTGAGAGCAGTACTTAGTTAATCAGAGACAATAAACTATGAGAAATACAAATAAGGATAGAAGAACCAACACATATACAACAAAAGACAACAAAAGACATAGCAACTGAATGCTAAAATTAATATAAATTGTATATAAACATTGAAAGTCTCTTCAGTTCAGGTCTCCATATAATTTCCGCATGGATAACTCGGAAGAACGAAAGTTATTGGTTTGATCATCATCAGAGGATTATTATTAACAGACTTTGAAGTTTGAAGGCAAGACACGATTTTAAACAAGTAGAAGACCTAGGCCAGCAAAAAATAACATTAAAAAACAAGAAACTAAACAATCAAACTAAATTAAAACCCCCTAATACAACAGGAACAGGGAAATAAAAATGTGACAAAAGTCTCTTCAGTTCAGGTCTCCATATAATTTCCGCATGGACAACTCAGAAGAACGAAAGTTATAAGTTTGATCATCATTAGAGACTGTGTTTAAGTTTGTGTGTCATACATAACACTGACAAACTTCACAAGACAAATGGCCCAACAAACAATTAACCAACAAGAGCCCTTATAACAAGCTGGAACAGGCCAAATACAACAGCTAAAAGTAAATACAAATTGCAAAGGAAATGAATCACAGTAAAAACACATGAAATCTTGAAACAAGAACTAATCAAACAACAAAGCTTGAAACAAACAAGAAATTATCCTTACAAATAAACTAAAGTCTCTTCAGTTCAGGTCTCCAAAAAATTTCCGCATGAATAACTCAGAAGAACGAAAGTTATTTTGTTTTGATCATCCTCAGAGACTTAATTTACTTGTTTTAAAAATCAGAAAACAGTATTAACTCATGAAACCCTAGAAACTGAAGAAAAAAAAAGTTTGAACATAACTGATACTAAAATCAGGTCGAAGTACTTAAGAATTAAGCATGTCAAACATATTCAATCGGTGAATTAAACTGGAATAAAAGCAGTACAACGAATCAAAGACAGTGACAATGTTGAAGAACAATGAAAAATCAATTAGAACTACAAGAAAAAAACGAAACACGATAATCACGAAACTAATGGAATAATTTGCATAGATAGATGCAAGAATTCGAAAGTAGAGAGGGAGAAATATACCTCAGAGCAGAGAACGGAGATCTGAAAAATGAGAGCTACGAACACAAACACCGATTCCGATCTACTACGCTCACTACTCTTTATACTGGTTAAATCGTAAAACCCTAATTCTGTTGAGATTTTGTTTTTGACGGTTCAAAGATTCAAAACCCTAGTTTTGTCTCCAAGACCCATTTCCAAATGTCGGGTTGGAAGCCCATCGAAGCCCATTTTATCAGAAATTACAAAGTTGTTATTCTTACCATACATATTTTACTCATACACCTGCAAAGCATATGGAATTCTCATTTTAACCCTACAAATTTTAAATATTTGAGCTTTTCAAATCTAAAATAAAATTTGTTTATACGACAATGATACCTTCTGCTCTCAAATATAAAATAAGATTGTTAAAGTTAAAAGTGATCATGGTAGAGATTTTAAAAATAAAGACTTTGAAAAGTTATTTGATGAACATGACATTTCTCATGATTTCTCTTGGACTAGAACTCCTTAGCACAATGGAGTTGTAGAGAGGGAAAATTGCACATTAAAAAAATGGTCAAAACCATGATCAATGAGACTAATGTTGCAAATTACTTTTGGGCAGAAGCAGTCAACGCAACATGTTACATTCAAAATAAGATCTCTATAAGACTTATTATGGGTAAGATTCCTTATGAAATGTAAAAGAATAGAAAATCCAACATTTCATATTTTCATCCTTTTGGATGTTCTTGTTTTATTCTAAATATTAAATAGAACTTAAACAAGTTTGATTCCAAGGCAGAAAAATGTATCATGTTAAGATATTCTAAACGCTCAAAAGGCTACATAGTGTTTAACACTGAAACAAAAATTGTTGAGAAATCAATTCATGTTAAATTTGATGATAAGTTTGACCTTGACAAGTAAAAGCTAGTTGAAAAGTTTGTAGATATTGAGGTTAGCTACTCAGATTCTGAAGGCAGAAATTTCAAGTAAAATACTTTGAAGACTCTCAACACAAAATTGTTCAATCTGAATCAGAAGTTGATGTCCCAGCAACACCTCTGAGGAAACAGAGGCAAAGTTCTTCACATCCTGAGGAATTGGTTCTGAGAGATAAATCAGAACCTATCAGAACCATATCCTCATTTAAACCATATGAAAAAATGCTTATGAGATTGGTGTCTTTAATAGAACATACTTTCATTGATGAAGCACTTATGGACACAAATTGGACTTTGGCTATGCAAGATGAGTTGAATCAATTCTTAAAAAATGATGTATAAGATCTTGTGCCAAGACCCAAAGGAATCCATGTTATAGGAACCAAGTGGGTCTTCAGAAAAAAGTTGAATGAGAAAGGAGAAATGGTAAGGAACAAAGACAAGTTGGTTGCACAAGGCTATAGTCAATAAGAGGGAATTGACTATACTGAAACCTTTACACCAGTGGTCAGGTTAGAGTTTATTCGTCTCTTAATTTCCTTTGTTGTAAACCATAATATCATTATATATCAAATGGATGTTAAGAGTGCATTTATGAATGACTACATTACTGAAGAGGTTTATGTACATCAACCTCTTGAATTTGAAAATCACAAAAACCTAGATTTTGTTTACAAACTCAAAAAACATTTGTATGGTCTGAAACAAGGTCATAGAGCATGGTATGAAAGACTAAGAAATTTTCTTTTGAAAAAATTATTTTACAAAAATGATGTCTTAGTTATGCAAATTTATGCTGATGATATTATTTTTGGTTCTGCTAATGCTTCTCTTTGTAAAGAATTTTCTAAGTATGTGCATGCAGAATTTGAGATAAGTATGATAATAGAATAAAATTTATTTTTGGGGATTCAAATCAACCAAAATTTAGAAGGAACATACATCTATCAAAGCAAACATACAAGGGAACTTCTAAAGAAGTTTGACTTGTCAGAGTGCTAACCAACCAAGACTTAAATGCATCGAACATGCATTCTAGAGAAAGATGGAAGGAAACAGGTATAACAAAAGGTATATAGAGGTATGATTGGTTATCTCTTATACTTGACCACTTCTAGATCTGATATTTTATTGAGCGTGTGTCTTTGTGCTATATTCCAATAAGATCCTAGAGAATTCCACTTAACAAATGTTAAAAGGATCTTTAGATCTCTGAAAGGTACTATTAATCTTGGTTTATTTTATAATAAATCCAAATATTACATGTTAGTAGATTATTATGACACTGATTATGCTGGATATATACTAGAAAGGAACAACATCAGTGAAAGCTATCTGTTTCTAGGTGATAATCTTAATTCTTAGTCTAGCAAGAGACAATCAACAATAACATGTAGAAGCAAGCTTCAAGGCCTTTATGTTTTGATGAAGACAAACTACTACAAGCTTGGTACGCAAGATACTTATACTATACACTCGTAGGGGTATATATTGAAGATAGATACTTATACTATACACCCGTAGGGGTATATATTGAAGATTAAACCAGAAGCACCTTTCTTCTGAATTCTTCGCAAAAAGCAAGAGACGCAAGCAATTCAAAGAACATCAAGATCAAGGAAAGTACCATCCCGTATGACTTTATGGATCAAAGCTTCGTCTACAAGCTACAAGTAGTGATGATGATTCAAAGGAACGATATACCATTTTTACTTTAGAAAATTTATACAAGTGTTCTTAAAAATCACTTTTCACTGCACAATTATCCCAACATTGTCAAAACATTTTTAAAATACTCATTCTATTCAAAATTAAGTATTTTCAGAAAAACCTTCAGTGTTAATCGATTAACACTTATGGTTAACCGATTAACACATTTCTAAATTATGTGTTTTTGGATTTTACAACAGTGTTAACCGATTAACCATATGGGTTAACCGATTAACACATATAAATTTCAAATATTTTGAACATTGTAAAGGTGTTAACCGATTAACCCTTTTGGTTAACCGATTAACACTGTAACAACAAGCAAAAATGATAGTTATTCATGGAAAATTACATTGTTTAAAATTCTTCTTACTGGCTATTTTTGCTGTTACAAAATCACACCTTTTTGGAAAGGTTTTTCACTCATATAAATTGATTTCTATTTCAAAATCAAAAATAACCTTCTTGAAACAAAATTACCAAAATTACTCACTTTCTCAAAATTTGAATTTTCATTCTAAGTGTTCAAACACCAATTTTTGAAAGAAGCCATTGATTAAATTTTCACACTCTCACTGTTATCTTTCACAAAGAACACTTGTGTATCTTATCTGAGTATAATTTGTTTTGAGAAGAAGATCAACCTTGCAGATTGATAAACAACTTTCCATCAAATATTTTCTCAAGAACATTTTTGTGTATTACCTTGTTGTCCAAGACTATTGGAAACAAGTGAAGTATATTGAAGAGGATTGTTCTTCAACACTTGGAATTACCTAT